GGCTGTTTTAATTTTTTTTTCCCGAAAATGATTTACAACAGCAGAGGTCTTATCAACCCTTCGGGGTGCCGGAGCTTAAAAAAAGTTCGTTTGTATTACAATTAATTAAGGTTTTTAGTTGAGATAAAAAAGTCAATGGCACGAGCGGGATTCGAACCCACGATCTTGAAAAATGGCAAAAAGAAGGGAAAATTCAAAAGGTGGGGTTGAGATGGGAAGTTGGTGTCCGAGTGGATCGAGGTCACGATAGCTCAAGTGGTAGAGCAGCGGCGTATCTAGCCGAAGATCGTGGGTTCGAATCCCGCTCGTGCCATTGACTTTTTATCTCAACTAAAAACCTTAATTAATTGTAATATATTAATTGGTCAAGCGGACCACGAAATTAATGAATTTAAGTTCGTTTGTATGCTGGATTCGAATTCAGGTCCCCTGGAATCAAACCCGGAACCTTACCTTATATATATAGGTCGCCGTGGCAACCCTTTACACTTGCAGCTGTCGATGACCCTATAATAGTATTGTCCACCCTTTAATAAGCCTTCGATCAGTTGATTTTGGAAAGTCTGTAAATTTATACAATCTTCAACATTTTTTTCAAAACAACTAGATCTAACAGTTGGATAGTATTTTTCAAAATAGTAAGTGCATCGATATTACTTTGCTGGCCCGTTTTTAAATGAATTTATTTTTGCAAACGTCTCGTCTTGCTAAATTATCACATAGATCTAAAATGTTGGCTTATTAAAAGGTAAAACAGTAATTGTTTTTCATTAGCCGAAAAACCCAAAACCCTACATTTTAAAATTCACAGTTTATCTCATAGAAAACTAAATTTAGATCACATTCAAATTTTTTCAAATATATATTTTTCAGATAATAACATTACGTAGGTTTTTAAAAGTGGGTAAATTTATGTTATGCAGAAAAAAATGCCGTTTAAAAATACTGCATATATATGTTGTCTAAACAGTAAACTGCAATATTTTAAATTCCAAAAAATATTGGTTTTGATATATAATTAGAAAATTAGAATTTTGCCGTGTAGAAATCGCCACAAAATGTTAAAGGTTTTTTTATTGTTGTGTTTGTTCTCCGTGGTTTATTTTACTGTCCCGTAAAGAAGGTACAAGGTTACAGCAGATGACTACGCTGGAACGGTCCTTTCGAATCACCTCCCTGGAATCCGTTATGCACTCCTTAGGCGATAAAAATATTTCACAGATTTTTATGTTAATTGGCAAAAGTCTTCGTGGGACGAAGGGTCTTATTTTAAAAATAAGAACGTTTATAATTTTACACGCAATGAGTTGGAAGTTTCTTAATGAGACGTGTGACAGTTTAATAAATGGCGTTATGGACGAAAGTACTTACTGCAAGTTATGCGAATCCTGTTTGATTAAACTATTTTTTAATTCCGGGACCGCGCTCTCTCCCTCACTTCGACTTCAGCATGTTCAAGTACCATAAGTTTATCTAGCGGCATATTTTTGTCATAAATTTTGGCCTGCGCTGTTAGCGTTTTTCACTATCTATAACAAGCCGTCTAAAACTGCTATTTCGATATCCCATATATAAACATTATGTATCCCACTCAGTAATAAAACCAGCACGTTCATCAACAAGACTGATTAAAATATTATGTAAAAATACTATAATTGTATAATTTTAACTAAACATTGATACAATTTCTCGTGCTTTAAATTCCTAGGCGTTTTTTGCTTCGACCTCTAAATGTCAATGATCCAAATCATAATCCACTTAATTGGTTAAAACTCAAATTACAGAAATAATTATCATAATGATGTACATAATTATAACAATGAACAACAATAGTGGTGTGCAAAGGTACTAAATTAGAAAAAAATAAAATTTGAAAGGATAATGTATAAAATGTCGAATACAATAAAAGTTCGATAGCTAAAATGAAACGAAAATTTCGCAAAAGTTTCCTTTTAATCATTACTAACCAATACATATTTTTCGTGAAATACTTGGTTTTTGGTTGGTTTCTACAAATTTGATCACAACATTTTTCAAATCAACTTTTTTTCGTCAAATTTAATTAAATAATAATATATAAAATTAATTAATTTCAAAGTAACCTACTTCATTCTAAATTAACCCTTTTCAATTTCACAGTAAACCTTTTTAATTTCCATTGACTCTTTTTATTTCACATTAACCCTTTTTAACGTTAAATTAACTCTTTCTTAAAGCATTAAAAAACCGCAGGATACGGTATGAAATATCAGCATTAAAGTCAATTTCCTAGGTATTTGAGATTTTTTCCAATAAAAAATAATTGGGTTATTAGAAGACCAAATAAAATTAATGACAAAAATAGAAATATAAACTTAATTTTAAAAATATTCTTTATTTAACTTAAGAATTAAAAAAATAATAAAATTGGATCTTATCTAAATATCACACGAAATGAAGTTAAAATTCCAAGTTTAAAATTAAATATAAACGCACATGATTGTTTTATTTAATCAAGATTTTTTACAATATAAAATAATTATTTTATATACCTATTATTTTTATTAAAAAATCTGGAATTTGAAGAATCTTTTTTATTCATTTAGTTTTTTAAATTTTGTATCACTATCTCTTATTAAAAGAAGAATTATTCATTTTTATATTTAATTGTATGTATTTTTAATTACAATCGTAATTAATTTTCATATGGTCTTCCAAGTGCCCCTTTTTTATAAAAATTGTAAATATACAAGAATTTCCCTTTACCATCTCGTAAGTTATTTTATGCTTTAAATAAAGGGTTGCTGTGCAATTAAAAACGATTAATTTGAAATTAAAAAGTGTAAATTGGATGTTAAAAATAGTTTATCCAAAGTTAAAAAGAGTTAATTTGAAATTAAAAAAGATTGATTGGAAATTAATAGGGTTAATTTGAATTTAAAAAGGTTTATTCTTAGTTGAACTGAGTTTTTGGAAAAATGTTGTTTCGTGTCACAAAGAAATTTAAAGGAAAAAATGATTGAAAATTTTTACTTATAACGTAATATACACTGAAAAGCTGTTTTTTATACGTAGTTTCACTACATCCCCGAAAATAGAAGAAACAACAGGGCAACATTTTTTTTCTTATTTAATGCAATGCATTTCCAAGTATGTTTTAAAACAAACCCTTAAGAAATTATTTATTGTCGTTTATTTGTACGTTTCGGGAATTTAAATCATTAATCCTATCATTAGGACTATATTTAAAAAAAAAAGATGATAAGTATAACAACATAAGAACAATAACAAAAACATAAGTATGTCACGATAGAATGCTCCCTTGGATTCATTGGATGCTAAATGGTGCCACACAGTTCTCCTCTTTACGTCCATATAGGTCGTGGTCCGATTGACCAAATAAATTCTTTTCAATTAATTAATTTTTAAGTAAGGTACTGGTTGAGATAAAAAAGTCAGTGTCACGAGCGGGATTCGAACCCACGACCTTCGGCTAAATACGCCGCTATTGAAATTGAAAAATGGCAAAAACGAGGGAAAATTAAAAAAGGTGGGGTGGAGATGGGAAGTTGGTGTCCGGGTGGATCGAAGTCACGTTAGCTCAAGTGGTTAGAGCAGCAATTGAGCCGAACGAAGGTCGTGGGTTCGAATCCCGCTCATGGCACTGACATTTTTATCTCAACCAATACCTTATATAAAGTTTAATTAATTGAAAGAAGTTATTTGTTCAATCGGACTACGAATTCTAATGGATTCGTAAATATAACATTGACATTCATATTTTACGACATTTTATTAAAAAGCTTATATTGTATTAAATTTATAATTTATTATTACGCCTATTAAATTTTAAATTCATCTGTATTCATTATCTTAATTAATTTTATTCATGCATCTGTGATTTAAGTTTATTTATATACATTTTTGTATTAGTTCTAAGCAATATTTAAAATAACAAAAATTTACTTGACGACATGATGCATGGCCAAGCTCGAAGAAGGTTCCCTATTATTTTTTAAATGAGGAGTTTTGTTAAACGATTGCTTTCTTTAGCAATCTAATTTTTTGGTGTATTTTTTCTATATTTTTTATCTTATGTAATTTTTTTTATAATAATTTTAATTTATTTTAGACTTTTTATAATTTTTAGTTTACATTAAGGTAGATCTTTTCAGTCTTAATATCATAAATTTAAAATGTTTTCGTTTCATATTTATTTGTGTATTTCTTAAATTAGCCAAATCGAAAAAGAAATGTCAACATAAACCAAACATTAAAAAAATAAGACAAATTAGTCTTCAATATTCTGTTTAAAATAAAACATTTTTACAAGAAAAACTTTTTCAAAATAACCTGTAATTTTTTTTAGTTCTTAAGGTACTATATCCTAGTATTTTATGTATTTTAATCATTATTAGTTACAGTTCAAAAATTGAAAAAAAAAGAAGCAATTTGAAATTATTTACGCATTAACATCTCTGATTTTCTAGGCTGTGAAAATTTCTAAAATAAGTTGTTTGTTTTTAGTTTAAATGGAAGCGCCACCAAGTCAGTTCCGAGTTCACACTGTTTCAGCTGGATGGATCGTAGTACGATACATGTAATTGTGTAGTAAATATTTTGTATCGGGATGGTAATTAGTTAACTATAATTATGATAGTAAAATTTTAAAAATCGTTAGGAAATCTGTCCACTGTCGAATTCAAATGGCCAACATTTTGCACAATAACTATTTCGACGGTAATTTTGTCATAATTTAATGAAAAAATGGGCTTTAGTCGACTTTGCGACAAATTGCTTTTTAGAAATCCTAGGTGTCGGGAATCAGAAAATGTGCCGCAGAGACCCTCCGGGGTCAAATGGAAGACATGTCCTCTGAACCGGGTGAACTCCCAGGTGAAATTTGAGATCTTCCTTAACCAAAGCACCTAGTGTGAACGTTCACCGGCAGAGAGAGCGAGCAGGGTACTTCGAAAGAAAATAAAACTGGTTCCGTCGAGTTTAAAGAGCCGCCACCGCCTGGTCCGAGTTCAGTTGTCGACCAGTTCCCGACCGAGCAAGTTGCCCTCTCTCTAGGAAGAGACTCGCGTGTGTACGAGTGCGGTACGTGTGAATATGGAAAATGGCAGAAGTGCTAGAGGAAGATCCTAACAACAACAGCCAAGGGGAGAAGAGCTATTCCCTGCGGCCGAGGACCGCCGTCAAACGGAGCGACGAGGAAGAGGAAGAGACCGTCACCTGGAGGAGGAGACCGAAACGGAGGCAGAAGCCGAAACCGGCCCCTTTGAGCAAGTACAGGAGAAAGACTGCCAACGCCAGGGAGAGGTGTAGGATGAGGGAGATCAACGAAGCCTTCGACAGCCTCAGGCGTGCGGTGCCCCATTCCGAATCGAGAGGTGAGCAGCCGGAAAAACTGACTAAAATCTCCACGCTGAGGTTGGCAATGAAGTACATCGCCGCTTTGACAGCTGCGTTGTCCGAGCCGCCGCAAGAGAATCAAATCTGCCTCCTTCCCCCGACGCCCCCTGTCTCGGATTCGCCTCTGTCGCCGCCTCCGGACCCGGAAATCACATCTTTCACTGATTTCCAAGACTTCGATCCGTTCGCGCACACGGCCCTGGATCTGGACGATTTCTTCTTCGCGTGATGCCGAACCCACAGCCACGTCGCGTCAACTGCCTACCTCGAGGTTCATCGACGACAAACAAATCTACGCTTATTCTCAGGCCTTCCCAGTGAACCTCAAGACATTCCGAAGACCTTTGAAGTTTTGTAAATAATAAATAAGTTCCTAGTGCCATAATAGGTCAGTTAAGTTATATAATTAACGTTCATGTTCTGCTTATTGTACAAATTTAGTTTTTTAGCCTAAGTGATAAACGCTCTACCACACGAGCACGCAAGAGTATACTCGCTTATTACTTTTTGTTTCGTATATCAAATAAAATATTTATCGTTGATTTTATTTTATTCAGCGTCATTTTTCACGTCGGGTCGTTATTTCTCCAACTGAGTAGTGTATTTAGTCACCAGCTGATTGGTTGACCCAATTTATCGGTTGAGTACTTTCACTCGAACGCCTTATCTCGACGGCCAATAGAATCCTGGAAAGAGTCAAGGCAAACCATTTGAAAATGGCGAACCGTCTAACGTGCTAATTTTTGCCCATTTAACATTATTGCATAAAACGAAAACTTTCTAAATTGCTCAGACTCGATTTCAATCCTAGAAAAATACAGAACGGACTGTAATTTTTACCACAAACACTCTAATTCACCTCCTTAACGGAAATTATGTTAACATGGGCAATAACACACTTCCTAATTTTGCCGTCAGAACCGCGTTTGCCAGTCATTATGTTTGATTTACCATTAGAGAACAACGCAAATTTGGAGTGAGGTAAGTGGAATTTTTGTCTATGTCCAGGTGGCTTAAAAACACACAAAAATAAGAAAAAATACAAACAACTCAATCTGTGCTTTCAACCATCAAACGTATATCAATACATGTAAAATTCAAACAGGCAGAAATGCTAAACTTTTGCAAACCGTAAAATAAACTTTGATGACTAGTATTTTACCACTTATGCCAGACACTGATTTTTTTCCTTCCCCATTAATATACGAAATCACGCAACTCTGTTCAAATATTCAATACCCATAAAAAACGCTTAAAATAATCTCTGTTCAAGGAAATAGCTCAATTTATTATTCAACAACGTCATCTCTCCGATAGCATAATGCACGTTTGCTTGATGGATCCGGCTCAATCAAATTATCAAATCAAATAAGTCCTAGAAAAAGTCACGGTAGAAATACGGAAAATAACATTTAGGAACATTTATCCTAAAAATTTTCAATTGATATTCAATAATTGTAACTTTTTCTTGTAAAATTAATTAGAATTGTGTATAAAAAAAGCACAAAAGCAACTTGGAGGAAGTAGGCTACCCGTGGAAATCAATATGCGAACCGGAGAACAGGTTCCTTTGCCTTCAACACAGTTTGAATTTAACATAAAAATGTCAGTTTTTTCTATTTTCCCTGTTGTCATTTAAATTGTCTATTTTTAGACATCACTTATCGATAATGTTAAATTTGTACAACAAAATTAAAACTGAGCTGTTTTTTCATAGCTTGATTTGATGCTCTAATGATGATTGACATAGTTTCAGTGAATTATTTGGTTTTTAAATTTATGAACATAAAAATATCTACTGTTTCTTTATTCTTTATCTTCTCTGTACAATTTTGAAAAAACTTAAAAATTGTATATGTGCAGAGTATGTTCATGATCAGACCTCGTCCTCTAGTTAATACATCTCGTCCAGATTTCATGTTGTAAGTTCAGAAAGTATCATCGGCACAAACAAAAAATCATTTAATTTTAAACTATTGACTGTTTGATTATTTTAACACAAAATATTTTTTACAAGCATTAAGTGCATTCAGCCGTTCAGAAATTATTTTAGCCTTTACACAAAAGGAAAGTTTATTGATTGTATTTGGTTTCTAAAACTTGTGAAGACCACCAGCATTTTTAGACTTCACAGCTATTTATCGTTTGTAAGCAGTCAAAGTAGAAACACATAGGCAGATGAACCTGTAGAGAGAGTGAGTGAGGGAGAGAGAGTGAGTGAGTGAGAGAGAGAGAGAGATAGAGAGAGGGAGTGAGTGAGTGAGTGAGGAGAGAGAGAGAGAATGAGAGAGAGATATAGAGAGAGGGAGTGAGTGAGGAGAGAGAGCGAGAGAGAGAGAAAGAGAATGAGAGAGAGATATAGAGAGAGGGAGTGAGTGAGTGAGTGAGTGAGGAGAGAGAGAGAGAGAGAGAGAGAGAGAGAGAGAGAAAATGAGGGGGTATTGCGACTGTGATTTTATGTAGCATGCGACATTTTTAATATGATGAATAAAGACCATGTGCTTAGTTCTATTTTATAGACAGTTCTATTCGACGAAATGATTAAAGACATATATTTTAGATAATCACATTTTATTCGTGAGTTTTGACAATGAGATGTTTATATGTACAATGATGTTTTCAATAGAAAAACAACCCCTATCAATAGTAGGGGATATTTTTTTTATTTTTTTGATATTGCTCTCAGCTATTTTCATTTTTTATTGTTACGTTTCGACACCTCACCAAGTGTACTCTTCAGCACAAAAACCTTATATAAAAATTCACTAATTTTGTGGTCCGCTTGACCAATTAATATATTACAATTAATTAAGGATTTTTAGTTGAGATAAAAAAGTCAATGGCACGAGCAGGATTCGAACCCACGACCTTCCGCTAAATACGCCGCTGCTCTACTACTTGAGCTATCGTGCCGACATAGCCGAAGATCGTGGGTTCGAATCCCGCTCGTGCCACTGACTTTTTTATCTCAACTAAAAAAAACCTTATATAAAATTATCAAAACAAATAAAATACAAATATTCGCCAATATTGATCGATCAGAACTCAAAAGCAACAAAGAAGAAAGCATGTACAACACCTTGAATTCAAAACTTCAATGAAATACAAAGAAAAGAAGGGATGATTAATCCGTTGCAATTTTTTAAAATAACTAATTCAGACCGCGCTATTAATCTAAACATTCATGTTTGTTTTTTTTAAGTTTGACAGTGGTGTAGATGGTAGGTACCTCCTCCCATCTACAACGGTTATATTTGCAATTCAAATTCACCTAACACTATTCACTTCTAAGATACAAATTCGACGTAGTTTGAACCAACGATGAACATTTGAATACCGTTTACAGGACAACGGGCTAAAGGTGAAACTTACTTATCAGTCAATTTTGGTCGGTATTTTGATGTCTCAGACCTTGTTCAATTTGCCAAAGGGCGAGATTTTCAAACATCTTTTGACAGTAATGCCATACGAAAAACATAAAATTATATTACTAATTTGAAGGTGGCAAACATTTTTTAATCAATAAAACATTAAACAAAGGAGGCTGAGGTATGTTTATCAAACCGGCCATTTCAGGCTTCAAAATGTCATGGAATGTGGCTTGGTGAAATAACTTTTAAAATCATCATTATTTTTTAAACATATTACTTTACACATTCTAACATCAACAATCTTCCTAATTTATGACTTGGTAAGTATGTTTTGTTATGTTCGGATGGGGCTAGTGTTGAGAGGCAATATGCTTAGTTATGTACTGGAAAAAAATGTGTGACCAGTGATCATGAACAAAACATGATTTCTAATGATCTTAATGAAAACATTCTCGTTTTCATCCATTAACTTTTCTAGTTTATTTTCTTTGTCTCTATTTGTTTTATCTAAATGGACTTTCAAAATTTAGAAATATAAAGAAAATTAGAAAGCAACGAAGAAGAGGAAATAAGAGGAAGAAAAAGGATATACATCGTAAATACAAAAAGAAGAAAACCACAAGGTAAAATAATCAAAGCGTGATTAAGAAACGGGATGAAAATTAAAACCCAGTAATACATTAGTTAATAAAAACAAAAATAAAATAAAAATAAAAACTGGTTGAAATTTCATTTAAAATACCAAGAAACCAAAAGGAAATTGGAAAATAACCAAGGAAGAAGAAAAAAAAAGTGTTTGCTATTTATAGTGTAATAATCGCATTATTTCATAACTTAGCAATATTTTTTATCGTTTCATGATACTTCTTTATTACAAAATTATTTTTACTAGCAAAGGTTATCAGCGGTTGCTGGAAAAAATAGTAAAAATACATTATTGATCTGTAATTTTGTTTGCCATTTTGAATAATTTGATAAATAATTACAAACAATTATTAAACAGTTTCAGGAGTTTTCCTCTGAAATCTTCATATTTTCGATATTAATATTACAACCATCAACCAACATTAACAGATCAAAACAAGAAAAACATAGGCAGACGGACCAGGATGAAAGGAGGCTAACATCACAGCGCAGATGCCAATTGTAGTCAAATTATTTTGCTTGTCGAGAAATTAACATTCATATCTAATTAATATTTTATGTAAGGTGTTGGTTGATGGTGAATGCTCGTGCTCATGCTCAATGAAAAAATCAGTGTCACGAACAGGATTCGAACCCACGACCTTTAGCTGTAAGGTGGGTTGTGGTGGGGCGTTAGTGGACGAGTGGATCGAAGTCACGATAGCTCAAGTGGTTAGAGCAGCGGCGTACTGAGCCGAAGATCGTGGGTTTGAATCCCGCTCTTGTCACTAACTTTTTCATTCTAACCAATACCTTACATAAAAAGAATAATTAATTAAAAAATGTTATTTAGTCAATCGGACTACGAAATATAATGGATTTAATTCATATCTAAGTTAAAACCTACTTTCCAACCTAATTTGGTATAATTTTAGGTCATATTTTTAAGAAATTAAAGATTTTAATTTTTTGGAACTAATCTAGTGGTTTACATACATCCACAAGTTAGATCCACAAAGAGACAGATAAATTGTTTTCCTAGTAAGCATTGTGAAATATGCTGTAATTTTCTGCTTGTTAGTAAGATTAACAAAGCGCTGGATCTGATTAAAGAAAAGGAATAGTTGAAAACTGGCAGACCAATTTAGTAAAGTCGTGATTTCGTCATTAGACATAAGGAATTTCTTTTACTTTCTGACCTTTATTTAAGGTCGAATTTTTTCCCAAAATCTTTCTTGCAAGATATCAATAGACAAAACAAGAAGTCAAAAGTCTAAATCTTACCGTGATCAATTTATTTGATGCCCTGTTTGCATTTATTTACACATTCTATTGGCTTAAATCAATACAGCTAATATTGACTGTAAAAGCTATAAATAATTTGTATTTCATATTTGGATCCAAAACGTATCATATCTCACAACATTGACATGTAGTAGTTTGTAAAATCAACAAAACAGCAAAAGAAACAGGTAAGCATTAGAGATTAAAAAATTAAATAAAATTACGGATATATATATATATAAAACAACGTATATATACAACTC